TTATTATCAAAAATCAAGCTCTATAAGGGGACAAAACCAATTGATTTTGAAAAAATCTGATTAAAAATAGGGAGTTAAGATGGGTTGATAAAAACGAAAAACAAAAAGCGATATCAACATGAAATTTGTAGTAAAAATCAAGCTCTATAAGAAAACGAGATCTATTGATTCTGAAAAAAATTTGACTTAAAATGAGGGGTTGAAATATTAAAAAAAAACTTAACTCGGAAAAAAAAAAGATATCAAAAGAAATCTTCAGAAAAAATCACGCTTTGTAAGGGGATGAAGTTTATTGATTCTGAAAAAAAATGAGGGTTTAAGGGGGGGTTGAAATATTTAAAAAATATCTTAATTTAAAAACGAAATAATATCAACTTGAAATTTTTAGCAAAAATCAAGCTCTATATATACCTAAGGAGACAAAGCCTCTTCATTTTAAAAAAAATTGTGAATGAAATGGAGGGTTAAGGAGGGTTGAAATAAAAAAAAATGGAAACCAAACACCAAAAGCATTTTAAGGGGATGAAGCCCATTGAAAAAAAAAACTGAATAAAAATGAGAGGTTATGGAGGGGGGTCTGTTAAACTATGAAGAGTATAATATAGAATGCCAAGCATTATATATCTTCATTCTAGTTTTGATTTAAAGCCACTGAACTATGATTTTGAAACTTTATAGTAACAAATACCTTATGTGCCAATCTTTGTTGTTCTGTTTTAAACCGGTTATATTTGCATTCTAGTTTGGCTTGATTAGTAATACAGTTAATATTATTAATATTGTATATTGTCCATTTTATTTAATCAAACAGCTTACAAATTAAAAAGATTTTTTTTACTTATTTCAGCTGATTAAGTAGATATGAAAAAGTTCTTTATAAAATAAAATGCAAATTAGGTAGGTATGACCAAATTCGAAAAGATTTGTTAAATGGTGAAATTTGATAAGTACAATTTTGTGTCTAAATTTTTTTGAATTATACCTAAATATAGTTTTAAAAGCAAAATAAAACATCAGATTTTTTTTATGCAAGCATAAAGGGAGATTTGGGAATGTACATGATATTGCCTGATCCTTTAATTTCGGCTTTCCACTTTTTGTTTTGCTAATAGTATCATCAGTAAAAAGGGTCATAATATTAGGAAATATCTTCTTAAAAGTGTAGAACATCATCATCAATCATCATCTCTAAAAAGTGGTTTATTGGCCCTAGGCACGATGTATATGCTACGCTATGCTAAGCGTTTAGGATCCTATAAAACACATTTACAATGTCAAAATTTGGGTTTAACAAAAAAATAACAGTAGCAACTCTTTATCTAACATTAAAACTCTATAAAAAAAAACAAATTTTATTTTCTAATGATTATAAAATTTTATTTTATAGAAACTTGTAGTAAAATAAACTACACTGCGTGATACGTGTTGTGACTAGTTTACAGTAAATATTTCTAATTAGACATAAATACATAATTTTAATTTCATTAGAAGCTTTAAAAAGACATTGAATTGATTTCTCCTTGTGGTTCCTTTAGTTTTACATCTGATTTGTATGCCGTTTTACAATCTAGAACGAAGTAAATCTTGCTTTGATAGTTTTTGTCACTCATGTTACTTGGACTTGTACTATTTTGCACATTATTTTCACCAATTCACTTCATTTTAATTGACTTACTTAGAAAATTGAGAGCATTACTGTTCGACATGCCAACTACAAACAATTTCGTGAAATTTGAAATTTGACCATTGACTATTGGCCATTTGACCCTTCTCTATAGTCTTCATAAATAAACCGAACGCTAAAAGGGTCGTTTGGAGTTAAAATAGTTAAAGAAATGAATGGAACTTGTCTGTCCGAACTTACCTCATGTCGTAACATACAGCTGAGATTATCGTAGGAATGAAAGAGGAAACTTTTGAAATAAGTAGATAAGTACTAAACTAATTTATTTTAGGTTGAAACGTCTGATAAGTAAAACAAAATGTTTACAGTTTAAAGTCATGAATTAATATGCGCATATGAATCGAGCTACAATAATCATCATTATAATGATAATCTTTGAATAAAATTATTTTTAAATTAAATTTAAAATTTATTAAATACTATAAAAATACGTAATATGGTCGTCTTGAATATTTATAAAATATACTGGCCACTTCTTTGTAATGTTTTGGATCTTTTTTAATTTTTAGAGTAGCATTTATATCCAAATATTGAATATTATCATCTTTAAGACAGGGCCAGATAATGCCCTCTAATAAATCATCTTTCTCAGGAGTAGGATTCCTGTAAAGAAAAAAAAAATGCCTTTATTTTAAAAACAACGAAGCATATAAAGCAGTTTTAATATTTTATAATTATATTATAAACATACTTGTATTTGACAAAATTTGTCCACATTTTTAGAACACGCTTCATTGTTAACTGGTCCGCCTTTGGATATTCTTCTGGTCTTTTTCCCAGAGCTCTTAGTCCACCGAAAACATAATGAAGATCTGCAGCATGACCAGGCACTTAAAAAAATTAGTTTATTAGTTCCGTGAAGTTAGCACCTCCAAATACGAATTTTTATAAAAATAAGTTGTCGTTCGTTTGTCCACGATTTTTCCATGATTGTTCAACAAAAATTTTCGTTTGTTCACCCTTCAAACAAAAGTTATAACAAAATTAAAATTTGAGCCAAATTTCACACGAGCATTGCCATAAAACATTTTTGATAATTTAAAAGTGGCATTTGATTGTCCACGACTTGTCCACGTTTGTTAACCCCCAAAACCAAGATATTTAAAAAAAATAATGAACATGTAGTACAGGGTAATTAGCCAATTAGTTCTTAAAACATAATATAAAGCTAAAAATGTGTATAAGAGTTTATTTTAGTACAGCAATTCTTAATTTCTGGTGTTGCAGTTTCTAAACGTGCAGTAGATGAGTCGCGTCTAGTTTTCGAATAACGCAGATTTTTTTTTAATTTTTTTAGAAATAACTTTGTGTTTTTGATTTCCTAATATGGAAACTTCTGAAGTTTGTGTTTTGTGTGAGAAAACTTTAATTGGTGGACAAATAGTTAAAGTGCAAAAAGGAATTGAAAATATTAAAAGGATGAGTGTTCTTCGAAATGATAATGTGCATATATTGCTTGAAAACAAAGACTCTGTGGAAGTACACACGAAATGTAGATATATGTATATAAGGCGTGTAAAAGAGATGAGCAGGAATCTAACGAAGGGTCTCGTCGGGAATTACGGCGATTGAACTTTCAGTTTGACTTTAAAACGATGTGTCTCTTTTGTGCCGAAGTTCTGGACAATAACCATCCGAACCGAAATCCTATTTCATTAGCATCAACTATGAAAATAAAAGACAATATTATCAAAATTTGTAACGAGCGCAATGACAAATGGGGAAATAATGTTCTGGTACGCGTAAACTCAGTTATAGACTTAGTTGCGTCCGAAGCGCGATACCATAAATCGTGCTATGCGTTATTCAGCCGTCATGGGAGTAATCCCAAGGGAAAGTCAAATTTGTGTGATAATAAAAGCGCTTTAAACTTGACAAAACATAATGCATTTTATCAGTTGTGTGATTTTTTTGAAAATAATGATGAATGTCAGTACGACATAAAAGAATTGATGGCAATAATGAAAGAAAAATCCCTTGATGGAGAAGAAGTTTATTCTGAAGAATATGTTAAAATGAAACTAAAGTCTCATTATGGTGATGCCATTTGTATGACATCAAAAAGTGGAAAATAAATTAAAAAATAATGCAGACGAGCGAATGCGAATCGTTGAAGCTGCCGCAATTATAATCAAAGAAGATATTTACTCCTTTACCTGTGAATATAATAACTACCCTTGCGTTAAAGAAATAGCCTCACGAGGTTATAATGTTATCCCCCACAGTTTAAAATGCCTATTGCAATCTGTTATGAAATCTAAAGGTAAAAACTCGCAGCCCTCAGAAAAAAAATTGTTACTGTGGCAAATTCTATATTAGCTGCGGCCCGACCAAGATGTTATTTATCTCCCTTACAGGTTGGCATGGGAATATATTTACATAGGAAGTTTGCATCAAGAACACTTATTGACATGTTTTTCAACATAGGTATTTTCATTTCTTACAAAGAAGTGTTAAAATACGAGAATTCATTAACTGAAAATGACGTTATGAGAATAGATTCCAAAGCATTTTTGTATTCGATAATGCGGACCATAATGTTCGAACAATTGACGGTCATGGAACATTTCATGTGATGGGAGGAATTCAATGTGTTACACCGGCTAACCTACTTCAAAATGACTTACCTGTTCCACGACCAAAGAAGCTTACAAAAAGTGACACTATTGGACAATACCGAAACATTAAAATACAAATGTACAATCGCCGACAAAATTCTGGTTTAGGCAAAATTATTTTTTCTGATCTGTCTTATAAAAATAGAGCCCCCTACTGCTAAAATAGCAGAACTTATGAATGTTCTGTGGATGTCAGGTCCTAGCTGTTTTGACATCCCCCTTCCAGCTTGGAGTGGTTTTATGGATATTTCAATGAAAAATCAAAGTCACGAATATCAAACGTCAGCAATATGTCCCCTACCTTTTGCAAATATGTCACCAACAAATCCATCAACTATCTATACTTGTCTTTAACATTCATTGGAAGAGTGCAAGAAGCTAGGTCAAAAAACATGCATTGAAACTTTTGACCAACCATTATATAATAAAGCGTTAGATATTGTTTTGGCAGCCGAAAGAGGAAGTCCTTTGTCATTAGTCATTGTTCGCCTCGGTGGATTTCACCTTTTAATGTCATTCATGGCCGCTATTGGTTATATAATGGAAGGAAGTGGTATTGAAGAGTTGTGGGAACAAGTTTAGGCGAAAAATACAATCAGTTTCTTGTTGTCTGGACATTCATATGGAGCATTAGAGCCCATGTATTTACACTCCTCGTTTTAAGTACTTTACTTTTTGAACAACTAATCAAAAAGGAAATGATTTCAGGAGAACAAATTGAGAAGATTAAAATGCACTATGAAAACACAATAAACATCACTAATAACGAGTCTGATACTCATGCTATTTACAAACACGTATCTTTAATTGCCTCAGCATTAGAGTCGATTTTAAAGACCGAGTCCTCAAGAAATCGTACAGCAGCGCTTTGTGGCCAGTATATCGAGATGGTACAAATATTGCTTGCTTTTGTGAGGGCTGAAAGAACAGGTGACTGGCAATTGCACTTATATTCAGTTCAGCGTATGTTACCTTTTTTTCACGCTGCTGGACGTAATCACTATGCAAAGTCAGCTCATGCTTATTTACAGCTTATGTTAGAATTTGACAATCGTATGCCTAAAGAAGAGTACGACAAATTTGTTGCCAGTGGATATTTTACTATTCGTCGAACATCAAAATTCTGGAGTGGCATTTGGACGGATCTGACTATCGAGCAGGTGTTAATGAGATCCATGAAAGTGGAAGGAGGACTTACGCGTGGTCGAGGTCTCACACATTCAACGATCGCACGCTGGGTAATACAATTCCGGCCACTATAAACGTTATATGTGCGGTAGAAAAATTTACTGGAGTATTGCCCTGTTACAGTGACCAACACGTAGAGCTACGCGACTCTCGTAAAATACGCGACACCGCAGATTTTAGGAAATTTTTAATCTGGCTACTAAATCACTCTCCATTTGAAAGCTCTTTTGACACATTAACTCTTTTGGATACCGGCCTAAAAGCAGATAAATCAGTAAATTGTGATGATGCAAAAGTAATTGGTCAAATGTCTCAAAACAAGTTTGTTGGAAAATCTTTTGATAAAGCAACGTTCTTGCGCAAAGATAAGGTGAAAAACATGGCAGCTGTTATGAAAACAATAAACGTCGGCAATGAAGAAATTAATATCAATTCCAATCAACTCTTTCATCGAATACTTTGTACCGTAAAGTCTGACGAAGAACTGCAGTCATGTTTAAAGTATGAATTAGCTCCACGGCCAACATCTCTGTTTGATTCTATTTCACTGAGAAAAGGAAAAAAGTCCTCTTTAATTGGTATCATAGAGGAATGTTGTCCAACAGCTGTGGAATTACCTTTAGAACCTTGTTTTGTGATAGACGGTGGTTACCTTTTGCATAAAGTAGTTTGGCCAAAACCTGCTTCATTTTCCCAAATATGTGACAGTTATATCGACTATATTAAAAGACATTATGGCCCTGAAAGTACTATTGTTTTTGATGGCTACAATGAAAGTGAGTACGGTACGAAGAATGCAGAACATATTAGAAGAACAAATAAAGCTAAGAAGTCCGTGGATATTGTTGTAAGTGATTCAATTTTTCCTTCTTGTACGCAGTCAGAATTTTTGAAAAATACCTCCAACAAGACTAACTTTATTTCATTCTTGGCCGTAAAACTTACAGCTGCTAAATTTAAAGTTCAAATTTCTCCTGGAGATGCCGATACCCACATCGTGAATACAGCTGTCACATTTTTTACTGAAAATAAGAAAGGAGAAAGTAATAACGAATGTTTTATGTTAATTCCAGCAACAATGTTTAGGCTACAAAAAGTATTTAATAGCAACCTACTCCAAGAAACCCTTGGGGATGTAAAAAATCACATTGCTTTTCTCCATGCAGTTACAGGTTGCGATACAACTTCTTCCCTTTTTAATGAAGGCAAAAAGCAAGCTTTTAAACTTTTGCAATCGAACCAGACATTAAGGCAAAAGGTTTCGGCATTCAATGATATAAATGCAACTAAAGAAGATATTGCTCACGCCGGAGAGTATTTCTTAAAATTATTATATAACGGTCGCGTTTCTTTAGATGACTTAAGCAAAATCAGATGTAACTGTTATAAAAAGGTTATAACTAAACAACCAGTTTATGGAAAGTTTGATCTGTCAGTACTACCACCAACATCTGGAGCAGCAAAACAACATAGCTACAGAGTTTTTCATCAAGTCCAGTCTTGGCGTGGGGTCCAACTTCCTGCTACTGAGTGGGGATGGATGAAAAAAGAGAGACAACTGTTGCCGGTTCCTACACTAGAACCTCTGGTCCCCGAAACTATATTGAAGTTGGTTTTTTGTAACTGTAAAACTGACTGTGCCCAAAGATGTGACTGTCGCCGAGGAGGACTTCCATGTACCCCAATGTGTGAAAAATGCAATGGTGAAGCATGCAGCAATAGACCTTCCATGGTAGTTGACGAGGAAGAACAGTCGAGGTACAAGAATGCTTCTTAGAAAAGGATTATATTACTGATCCAAACGAACCTAGGTCATCCAGATTATCCAACTAAACTGTTCGAAGTATCGGTTTTTAAGGTAAAAAAAATTATATTAAATCTTGAAGGAATTTACATTTGCAGATATGCGATTTTCAGATTTCAAGCAGATCAACGAAGTTTTCTGTTGTTTTAGGTTAATTAGGTTTGATTTAAACCAAAAACATATGGTGGCGCTTGAAATAATTGGAACATAGTTCCTTCCTAGCATTTTTGCCACATTTTTAATAATTCATTTCATTGTAATTTAATTTTAAAATAAAAAATGTTTGTGGAACAATTTTTTTTATAACTTCCAATATGGCGGTCAATGGCAGCTGTCCACCATCACGCACAAGCTGCAAGGCTGTAACATTTTATTTACTTACCCATAATGTACCTTAAAACAAATTTTTAGCTTTATATTTTGTTTTTAGTTTAAATAAGCTAATTACCTTGTACTAATGGTCTTCAGGGACAACCTTAACTTCATACGAACTAAATACGGCAATCGTTTTTCAATACATTATTTTCCTTTGTCAGGCCTTATCTTCGTTTGTCCATTCAACAGAAATAAGTTACAAATAAAGTTGAGAAGAAATACAGCATCAGAAGAAAAATATAGAACTGCGGAAGAAGGAACAGAGAGATGATGTTGTAGAAATGAATAGAAAAATGGATGAAAATAGTAAGAAAATGAATCAGAATTTGAGACAAATGAAAGGTGAAATGAACTAACAGTAAGAAAATGGATGAATACAGAAAGAAAATAGATGAAAACAAAAAATGGATGGAAACACTAAGAAAATGGATGAAACTAGTAAGAAAATGAAGGAAAACAGTAAGAAAATGGACGAAAAGAGGAAGAAAATAGAAAGAAAATAGAATGGAGGATAAGAAAGAAATAATTGGTGGATATAATTAGAAGTCAGATTCAAGAGATCAATAAGAAGATTGAGGGAGGAAAATAAGAAATAAGATAAAGAAGATAGACGAAATAACAGGAACATATAGTGAAAAAACAAAGAAGAAAGATACAAATTAGAAGAATATAAAGTAAACAGAAAATAAAAGAAAAGTTAGAATTAAATAAAGAAGAAATGAATATAGAAGCAAAAGGAGTTGAAATGAACATAGAGGTAAATGTAGAAGTACAAGAGGCAATAGTAAAAATTAAAGAAGAAGAAAGTAGTAAAAAGGTAGATTCACATTGTAGGAAACGAAGTAAATAAAATGAGTAATAAAAGAAACATTGAAGTAAGAAAATTAAAGAGAACTGAAAACAAATTCAAGATAAAAGATAAAGGAAAACATAGGATCATGAAGAAGAGACATAAAGATATAATAAATACTAATATTAAAACTAGAATAAAACTAAAACAAAGACAGGAGGATGAAATGAATAATAAGATAAAAAAATAAAAATAAAATTGCTTCTAAAATAAAATTCAAACAGGTACAGAAGGATTATAAATAAAAAAAGTATATAAAAATTAAATAGAAGCAAAATAAAAACAGTAACAAAAGGAGTATAAACGAAAAAGTAGATAGGGAAGAATGAGCGACAATAACAAAAAAATCTGGGTTTGAAGAAGAAGGAGACAGTTAGAATGAAGATGAAAGAAAAGTAGTAAAATTTAGAAGGGGACGGATATTTTGAATTTTGGAAGCATCGAAGAACATGAAATTGAAAAGATAAAATAAATGAAATAGAATTAATATAGAATTAGATAAAGTGTGAAAGTTGAACATAATGTATGAAAGAAAATAAATAGGATATCGATTATAGTAAGGACAAAAAGGAAAATAGAATAGAAAACGGAGTATTTATAGTAATGATTTGAGAAGTAAAAGATTTGTGCATATGAGAATTAATTTGGAGACGAGATGTTTGTTGAAAAGTAAAAGTATAAATAAAATGATTAGGTAATAGATTAAAATGAAGGAGAATATGATTTGTACAAGAATTATTGTGAATAATGTGATAAAAAAATGAATAATGCGGCATATTAGAATAGGTTTGTATAAATATGAGGAGTAAATGTAAATAAAAGGTGAAGTATTAGCGAGAGTTAATAGTTAGTAAATATAAGTTTGTCTTTCTGTGTTGAATGAATTTAAAAAATATTGATGAATGGGGAAAAATGACTTATGGAGAAAATTTAAATATTTGGTTAAAAATTTAAAATTAAGAAATTAAATTCATTGTTTACGATATATTTTAGGAATATACGGAGTGAACAATAAATTTGGGGGATTGGATATGGAAATTCCTGACCCATCGAAATTGTAAAAACTAAACTATACTGGGGTGGTAAAGTTTTGAAAATCAAATTTTTAAATAAAAAATCGGTGTAGTTGATTTTGAAAAAAATAGTGAGAGAAAAATGTAATTGTCAGTTCGGAATTGTCAGTGGGTCAAAAGATTATTAGTAGAAGAGAAATGTTACTACTATAATTTCGATTATTCTATAATCTGAAGTTTGATATAAAGAAAAGTTAACCAAAGCTATAGATATTTTTATTTCTTTTTTTTTTAAGATAAAAGGGTGCAGTGACAGAAAGAGGAGCGCAATAGCAGAAGTGTAGTTGAGCCAACTTTCGTTTAGCTGAAACCAGCACGTTACGTAGAAACTGTAGCCATGGCAACCGTGAGAAAATGCGTAGTTGCCAAATTACGGATGATATGCGTAGTTGTCAAATTACAGATGATTTAATTTCACTTTAATTTAGCTGATATCACTTACAGAGAAACAGTTGCTATAGGGATAGGTACTTATCATGAAAACGAGTAAATAAATGGCCAAATCTCGTAGTACAATTTATTAAAGAGATTAATTTCTCTCCTATCTCAACGGAAGGTTCAAAAATGACAATAGGTTCATAAACTTGACTGACATACCTTTATACAGGCAACGTTTGTACTCACCTGTAAAGCCACTGCGACTGTTTCCCATTTTACCCTCGTAAGAAAATTGAAAAAAATATACTGGTGAATAGTTAGAAGCAAGTACAGCATGATGAATTGTTGGTGTGTACATTAGGTCTTCGCCTAAATACTAAAAAATAATAACACAAAAATTGTAACTTGCAGAATGTATCTTAACATACACATACATTATGGTGCAAATAAAAGGCATCAATTCATTCTGTTTAGATAGTCCTTTTATTTGTGGCGTTATCTGTGTGAGCTTGACGACGTCAAGGGGCCGATTCTTGACTTGTAGGGACTTATTATTATAGGAAATTTTTCCATTTTTCTATGTATAGGAAAATG